TTAAATAACCAATTGCAATCGCAGTACTTTACCAAACTAGAAAATTTTATTTCCTATATTTGGGGAAAAGATGTCTCAAGATTCTTTTCTCTTTACAATATTCTGCCCACCTTCCTTCTCTCTACATCCCACATTATGGTTTAGTTCTTAAATTACTCTGAATTTTGGAGAAATTTCCAGATTTTTTGTTTAACCACATATGTTTTGGTTTTCTGACTATTGCACACTAATGAAAATCCCCTGTGCATCTGTACTAAATAAATCTTTGAATTGCTAATTGTTTCAGATTAACCCCATGTATCTTTAGCAGCTGTCTTTATGCATTTTCAGCCCACAAATTCAGTCTGTTTATTTCTGGGTCTTTAATCATAAACCATACACACATGCATAAAGGTCAGATTGCCTCGCGGATAGAATGACAGCAGCATCTGTATATTCTGCAGCCTCCCTGGGGGGCAGTCCACCCTTTATCTCCTCCTCTTACCTTTTATTAGTCAGCTCGGGCTACCATAACAGATTACCACAGACTAGGTGGCTTTAACAGCAGGAATTCATTTTCTCCTAGTTCTAGAGGTTAAAAGTTTAGAAGTGCACGATCAAGGTGGCAACATGCTTGGGTCCTGGTGACACATCTCTTTTCAGCGTGCCCATGGATGGCCAGCTTCTCACTGTGTCTTCACATGGTCTTTCCTCTGTGGGGCACTCCTGGTGTCTCTTCCTCTTCTCGTAAGGGACTCCAGTCCTATTAGGTTGGGGCCCCACTCTTAACTTTACCTCCTTAAAGGCCCTATCTTCAAATACAGTTAACATTGGGGGTTAGAGCCTCAACATATGGATTTGGAGGTGGGGGACCCATTTCAGTCCTTCACACACCTTCAGGATGATGCCGGGTGTCTCCCATTCGACCCTCTAGATCTCCAATCCTCTTCTCTCCATGTGCTCCATGCTGAGGGATACCGATCTTCATGGCCTCTACCTAGGAGCTGTCATGTCCCCTGGCTTCTGATAGGGTTTGGCCAGTGGGATGCACTGGCAAGAAATGAGAGAGAGAGAAGGAGGCAGGGTCTCAGTCTATACTCCCCTGGCCCCCTCCCTGCAGCGCCAATATGGGTTGGTGTGTCCCCTGACTGATTCTAAACTCCTGTTAGTCTCTCTGCCCCCAGCTCCAGTGACTCCCCTCTCCCCAACTCCTAGCAGGCATGGTGGTGGTGGGGGGGGGTTATTGACACCACACTGTCCTTTAGGGTTTCCCTTCATTGTGCCCAGTTGTGAAATAATCACCTCAGATTATCTCTTTAATACAAGGACGTCACCTCTGTCTAGAAAGGATGTTTCCAGGGCACCAACAACCCACTATCCTATCAAACCACTGTTACCACAACCTAGTGGATCTCTAAAGGACCCCTTAGCAATGTCATTGCTCCCCCAGAGTTGTGTCATCTGTTGATAGTGCCAGAATAGAATGACTTGTGGTCATATTTCTGAGGGAATCCTTGTCAGGTTGGGATTTCTAGGGGCCCTTTGGGGTCACAACCTATATCCCTCCCCTTGAGGACACTCGGGAGAGGTCCTGAGTTCTAATTCTGCTACCAAGTCTGGAGAGAACTTGGAAGCTGGTCTGCTCTAGATACTAATGCCAAGCTTCAGTGAAGACATTGGCGTTTTGGCTAAAAATAGAATAGCAAATATAAGACAGCCTTCTTTTGCCCAACAGAAGACTGCTGTAAGGGTTAAGGGTTCAGGCTTTGGCTGCAGTTGGATTTCAAGCTCTGGCTGTGGCATTAGTGAGCATTGCTGAAGCCCAGTTTGCTCATCTGTAAAATGATGATGCTATAGACTCAAATTGTGCCGAATAATGTTTGGACAGTGCTCAGTGCTATAAGTTTCTATAAATGTTAGCCTATGTTGTTTTTAATATACACTCATACAGTGGACCTTCTCTGTGTAACAACCCTCTTGATCATAAAGTAAAATTATTTCCCAAGAATCAGTTCTGTGTTTTTCCTCTTAATAAAGAAATAAATGTGTTTGTTGATAAAAGTCACCCATGGTTACAGAAGGATGGTATGAAAAAGAAAATAGAAGTCTTTCTTAATCTGACCAAACAGAATAAGTTCTGTCACATTATCACTTTATGGTAGCTTTATCATATAACTTACACACATTAACTTCTTTACATACACAAACATTTTTTTCCTAAACCGAAACCATATTATATTGTATCCTACATTTGTCACTACATTGTGAACATAAAAGTGTCTTCTGGACTTTTTTTTTAATATTTCCTTATTAAATATTCTTAAAATTTGAGTTCATTTTTAAATGTCTTTTCATTGAATTTTATACACAGGCACCATCATAATTTTACATAGATATATAAATGTGATTGTGCCATGTGTGCTTTATCATTGCTTTGTGGCTCTTAATCTATTATCTGTTATAGTGTTGTTTAAACCAGGTGGGTTTTTTCATTACCTCGTGTGTTCTGTTGACCTGTTACGTAATGCCTATAATACAGCCCCTGAGCATGTGATAGAGAGGGTACATTTGGTGATGAACTGGAACCTTCTTCCTTCTCTTGCTATAATGTTCTATTTCTGAGGTCTAGATATGTCAGCCACTAGAGTTTTTCAATCGCACCTACACCATGGTAAGGAGCAATTCCTTCTAGAATTCACAAAGTGTTTAATATAATGCTTAGTTTATGATGGCTTAGTGATCTTTACATCCTTTTCTATGTTTCATGAATATTTTGATAGGAAACTGAGGGAAGGTAAACCAGACACAGCGGTCTAGAGCAACAGAATCCAGAAGTTTCTTCTCTCCATGAATTTTTCCCATTCTTGTGTAATCATGTTGCATTTTTCCATGTTGAATGACAAAAGGAAATCAATGCTCAAGTCAGTCAAATCATGTCATAAACATTCTGTTCTGTGAGGATTTGAGGTCAGAGACAGTTTATCACAGATACTCCAGATTCTTTTTCATTGCTCTTTTCTTGGCTCTTTTTCCAGAAATTCCAGGACAACATCCTAAATACTTTAACCTGTATCTAAGACCAGAAAGTTTGGGCCTGAAAGGAAGAAAGAGTCTCAGCCATCACTAGCTCTGTGACTTTGGTTCTCACTTCCTGATTACAAAATGATAAGATTTGGCCTAGGTGTCCTCCAGTATGCCCTCTAGTTTTAAAATGGTAATATTTCTCAAGGACTCAGCTCTTCCTAGAAATACTCTTCACTTTGGCTTATTTCTCTTTTTTCTCCCAAAGACCTTATCTTATAGAACCAAATGGTCACTCTGCTTCAATATACCTATTATACTTTTCTTCTTGATTATTTTAGTTTATGACAAGGTTTGGTACAAAGAATGTGACTCCATCTCCTAGCTGTGTAAGAAAAACTTTATGGGTCTGTTTAAAGAAAGTATCTATGGTCAAATATGTTTAGAAATTATTTCAGATTGTACCCCCCGTTGGGGTTTTACAATCAATAGTCACCTTTTTTAGCAATTAATATCTGAAGTTTTACTTTTTAATTACAGTTGACATGCAATATTATTTTATATTATTAATAGTTTCAAGTGTACAGCATAGTGGTTAGACATTTGTATAATTTATGAAGTGATTCTCCTCAATAAACCTGGCACCATACATAATTACTGCAATATTATTGACTATATTCTCTATGCTATACTTTATACCCCAATGACTATTTTGTAACTACCAATTTATACTTCTTAATCCCTTCACCTTTTTCACCTAGCCCCCCAAACCTTCTCCTATCTTGCAACCATCAGTTTGCTCTCTGTATCTATGAGTGTTTCTGTTTTGTTTGTTCATTTATTTTGTTCTTTAGATTCCACGTATAAGTGAGATCATATGATACTTGTTCTTCTCTGACTTATTTCACTTAGCATAATGCCTTCTAGGTCCATCTATATTGTCACATTAAAAACTCTTTAAGTTCTGCAGTAAGGAAACCTGTTTAATTTTGTTTAACTCAAAGTTATGATCCTGAAATTATTTTATTTCTGGTACCATCCATTAATATCTCTTAGTAATTAGTGTCCACACCATGCTCGGGAAGGCACAGCTCTAGAAGGAAGGATATAGGACCCAATTCTGCCACTCACTGACGGTGTGATCTCAGAATAAATACATAACTTCTCTACACCTCATGTTCCTTATTATATTAAGTGAGGGTGCACAATAGCACCCCCTTCATGGTGGATATAAATATTTAAAGCAAGATTGCATGATATAGTAATTCATGATTAATAAAAATACAACTCCGGGGTCTAACTGGGTTAAAATTTTGTCCTTCCACTTACTAGCTATATGATCTTAGAAACATTATAACTTCTATACCTCATTTATTCATCTGTACAATGGAAAAAAAAAACTGTACCATTCTCACAGGGTTATTAGAAGAATTCATTCCAATTCAAGTAAAACGTTTAGAATTGTGCTTGGTTCATGGTAGGTACCTAATAAATGTTAGCTCATTGTTGTCATCATTGGTCTTCTTGTTACTTCTATGGCTATGTCATAGGAAAGGGATTATTTTAGTTTCATTCTTGTTGGAATGTAATTGACATATACATTTTATTAGTTTCAAGTGTGTACCATTAATGGTTTGATATCTATATATATTGTGAAATGACCATGACAGTGAGTCTAGTTAACTTCTATCACCACACAGTTACAATTTTTTTCTTGTGATTAGAACTTTTAAGATCTATTCTCTCAGCAACTTTCAAATGTATACTACAGTGTTATTAACTGTAGTCCCCATGCTGTCCATTGGATTATTTTACTTTCTAAAAGCAGTTCCTCTTACCTCAAAAAAAATAGCTTAAATCCAGCATGTTATTAAAATAACATCATACCTCTCCTGCAGATATTTGATTCTGTCTTGTTGATTTTGATCTCCTCTTCATCTAGAGTCTGTGATCCTTGTGTTCTCTCATTTAACTTTTTAACTTTTTCTGTTTGTGACCAGGGGCGACGAGGTCTTGGCTCTGTTTTTGTGTGGGCATCAGGAAATGGTGGCAGGAGCAAAGACCACTGCTCCTGTGACGGCTACACCAACAGCATCTACACCATCTCCATCAGCAGCACAGCTGAAAGTGGAAAGAAGCCCTGGTACCTGGAAGAGTGTTCTTCCACACTGGCCACAACCTACAGCAGTGGAGAGTCCTACGATAAAAAAATAGTATGTGCCGTTTGCATGCCTGTTATGATTTATTTATCTTTCTCCATGACATGCAAAAGGAAAACCAGAAATTTATATGCACACGTAGTATATGGAAATAGAAAGTTCTATTAGCTGATTACGCAACAGAAGTACTTATAAAATGGTACCATTTCATTGAAAAAGCCTGCCCAGGTCATTATATTCCCGCATTTAAGTGGCCTTAGACACGATTAAACTTCAGTTGTATTGAAGACAAATCGAATGGTCCATGTTCACCTGGTGAGTTAGTGGTGGAGAAGAGCCTAGACTCTAGACCTCTCAGCCCAATGCCCTATCCCTGTGTCCCCACACTGCCTCTGAGCCTTAGTTTCCAGTGCTTTAGTTTCCAAGGACAACTAATTCCATGTGAAAAACAAAATTATGTGAGAAAACCCAGAATTCCATTTAGACTCTACTGATTTAGCATGAACTAAACTTGTTCAAAAGGTGCTTTTCTAATATTGCTGCACAAAGTTTGCCTGAATGAGAAGTACTGAAGCCCTGTGTGATCTCCTGCTTACTAGCATCCCTGCTGTCTATGCAGACAGTAAAATGAGTAAGAGCTCAGGTTGTAGGACTAGCGTGCATGGGTTTCATTTGGTATTGAGCTATTTACTAACTGGATAACTTCAGATACACATCTTAATTTTTCTGTCTTAATGCCCTTCCTTGTACAAGGGAGACATTTAATAGTACATAGTTTATTAAGGTATTACAAAGATTATGAAGTTAAGAAAAGTGCTTTTCATACTACGTGACCCATTTGTGCTCAAGAATGGTCTGACTTTGGGTGTGCCTAGCACTGTGCTGCTGATTCTAAATTTCAAACACCTTTGCACTTTTCTTTTTTCCTGATCATGGTTTTGTAAGTTGTCTCGGGATTCGTCTTACTAACGTGGGGCAAAGCTGCTCTCCCTGACACTTTTTAGCATTGAGCCAAGACTTTGCTTTGAGACCTTATAGACTGACGCAGGTTTGGATCACTCTTCTAGTGCTACATCTGTCTTTTTCACGGCAGTGGAAATACAGGTGATGGGATACTACCTCATTCATGTAATTCTTTATCCACATCCATTTGGATTGATTTCTGGTTATTATATGATTTTTTGTGTTTGATTTCTCAGCTACTTTTTGCGACCTTCTTTAGTGACATTTTGTAGAGTGATTTAAATAAAAACTACCCATATTCCGATCCCATCTGACCCCATCTTTCCCTAGTTTAAATAACTAGGTTAAAAGATATACATGTGAGTCTGCCTTTAAGTACTTCCATCATTCATCAGTAAACATAGCTCGGCAATACAAAGTGAAATATAAAAGGGGGAAATGTAGAGATGAGAAGTTTTGAAATTTCATAGCGTTCTTAATGGGAAAGTGATCCTCTGTGATATTTTACTGTCAGTATGGAAATGTTATAATCTAGGAATATTCCTTTGGCTCTTAAATATGAAGACCTTGTTTCTCAGAACTCATGGTCCATGTCTATTAGTGCTGAGTGACATCAGTCAGTTCTGCATCATGAAAATCCTGATGGAAACTCTCTGGAATAAGAGTTCTCTTCTTGTACATCTCAAGTCTAATGGTGTTTTAAGGCAAACTCACCATTGCTTCAAACTAAACATGCCCAGCTAGTCCACTTTATCCCTGTAGAGTGATTGCCTAGGGGAAGATACTGTTAAGTTCCATAATTGTCTTCCTTAAAAGAAATGTATAATCCAATGGGCAAAATATCAAAGATGAGAAAGTGTTGTCTGGGTCCCAGATGGGAGAACACAATGTGGAGAACTCAAAATCACTGCTCTGAGGGCCGGCTGAGTGGCGCATTGGTTAAGAGCTGGCCTGGGATGCCAGCTCTGAGCAGGAGGGCCCTGTTTCGGATCCCACATGAGCCAGTGATGCTGCGCCCTCTACAGCTAAGATGATGAACAAGAGTTCGACCTGGAGATGGGCTGCCGTGAGTCACTGGCGACAGCATAGGCTGCAGTGAGGCTACAGTGGGCTGCCATAAGCTGTGAGTGGCTGGCAGCCAGCATGAGCAGCCAGCAGCCGGCGTGAGCTGCCAAAAGCCTGTCCAGTAGCCGGCGACTGATCTGCATCACCAGGGAAGAGCGCAGTGATAATACCAACATGGGCCAGTGAAGTGATGTCCTCCACAACTAGACTGAAGAGCAAAAGAACAACAACTTGTCTGTTCCCCTCCCCCAATGCTGTTCCCCTCCCCCAATTCCCCAATAAAATCTTTAAAAAAAAAATCACTGCTCTGAGATTTACTCCCTAGATCTGACCTACCTGGTCCCTTCATCACTATGTGCTCTGATTATGTGGTAGCTGTTAATGACCCCCATGACAGGGTGGTCATTTAAGATTCTTCCATGGATGGACAAATTGATTCATTCGGTGGTCCAGGATAGGGCTTGAGAGAGAAAGTGGGTAACATGACTGCATAGCCTCGATTCAAGTCCTATACTTTATTTTTCCCTGTTTGCTGCTTCCGATATCAAAACCTTTGCTGCTTCGCCATATATTTAACTTTTACTCATTTCTGCCTCTTATTTAATCTCTCCCATTTTCATGGCAGCAACTTATTAGTCATTTTCTGTGTCTTGTTTTTAGATTCTCTTATTTTGCCTGAATCTCTGAATTATCCTCAATTAGAGAGGAAATTTGGTAGCTGTTTCAAAGTGTAGTCTCCAGTTTCAGACAGACTGCTCAGTGGCTAAGTGACTTTCACAGAGTCTTGGTTTTTTCATGTGTAAAATAGAGGTAAAGCCAGCACCAACCTTACAGATTTTCCTGAGTGTAAGGTATTTACACAGCACAATGCACTGCTCAGTAAGTGGCTGGTATTGTTCCCTGAGTCAGTGTAGCTTGCTGGACCCTGAGAGGCGAGGTTGGTTGTTTTTCCAGCTGTTGTGAACAGAGGTGCTCATAGCACCTCCATTTTTCCAATCTATTAAAATACTGCAATCTGTTCCACCCACCTCATAAAGAAAGGCACTTTGATCGTGAACATGTTAACAACGGTTTGAACATGAATTGAGTTGGCAACAACATCAGCCCTTTATGATGCAGGTGACCCCTTTTCCTTCTAGATGTCAGAATGATAAATAGTCCTGTGTTGCACCTGGGACCTTTTCTTCATCAGGCTTTGAACCAGGCGCCGCTGGTCCCTTGGAGATGCCCACATCCTGTTAGTGGCATCCATGATTGAGTGTTACAGGAATGGCAGCGTCTCCCTTTGTTCTCAGGGCTCTCTTCCCTGAGCCATTCATTTTCTTTTGTCATTTGCAGCTTCTCCAGAAGAGCACAATTGTCATTCCTCATTCACAGAGCACTTTTGTGATTTGAACCAAGGCAACTACTGGGGATCCTGGAGAGAGAAACATCCCCTCCTCTCTGCTTCTGGGAAAGCACTTTTGTTAAATAAATTTTACTTGTCCTCAGGAAAATTTCTTTTCATGGTATGCAAGCAGGAAAACTTTGCCCTCGGTTTCAAAACATAGCTAGGTCTCTTGGTTCCCTGCCACTACTATTAACTCAATTGCGGACCTTGGTATTCCATTCATGCTTTAATTGCTTTGGATCAGGGATGGCCTTATATCTTATTACAGCAAATGAAGCATCCAAAATATCAAGATTACTACAATGAGATGCTCTTCTGTAAGCTAAATAGAAACCAATTGAAGTGACTGGTCATTTTAAAGCCATATGATGAAATAATATGTTTTTATTAACAATATTGAATGCATCTTATTCTGTGTCAGACATATATTTATATTGGGTTATCGGAAAAGTCATGACGCATTTTTTCTATGTTTTTCACTGCAAAAATGCGTCATGACTTTTCCAACAACCCAATAGTTCTATTAACATGTGCTAAATATAACATTATTTGCTCTTTTAATGTGTGCCTAACACTGCACTATGTATATCAAATGTGTCATCTCATTGTATCTTCAAACCCCAATGCAGGAAGATCGGGTGTTTTCCCCACTTTAGAGATGAGAAAACTAAAGCTTAAAAGGTTAAGAGAAACACAGCTAGTAAGAGGTGGCGCCCAGATTCCAACCAAAGTCAGACAGACCCCCAACCCCCCACCCCGCCCAAGCACATCTTGTAACCAATGTGCTGCCATGCCCTGGATACTTTTTGGGGGTATCCAATATGGGGCTATATGAAAGAATGGGCTTTTTTGTTGTTTGTTTGGGTTTTGGGGGGTTTTTTTGCCTCTTCTGAGTTTTTTTCACAGTGATTTAAAAAAAAAATATTTGGAATATATAATTCTCCATTGATTTTCACAACTTGGCTCACTTATTTTGAATTTCATGCCATTAGACCTTTTCATAACCCCCTCAGACAATAATCCTCTTACAAAAACCTAAAACTTACAAAATCCTCTTACAAAAACCTAAAACTCTTTGCAGATATGAGTTGCTAGTTCCTGTGGTACAGTCTCAGTACTAAACTCTCCAAGCTTATACCTTTTGTGACATTCAAACCAGGACTCTCTCCTGAGAGAAGTGACATCTGTTAGACCAGAAATCACTCCATTTATGTCTCTTCTCAAGTTTCACCTTAAAGAGGATATTCTTCCTCACCTTCCCTCTAAATAGTGGCTCCCCTTCACCATGCTCTACTCTTACCCAGTTCAATTTTCTTTCTAGCATCCTTAGAGCTGCCCAACATACAATTACACATTTTCTTATTGACTGTTTTTCATGCTAGAATGGAAACTACTTGAGGCTGAGGACTTTGTTATGTTCCTTCCCAGAGCCTAGGCTTAAATGTCTTTAGGCATAAATGACTAATCAGACATTGAGAAGGATGGAAGCTTCAGGAGTTTTTTTTTTACATTAGCCACAGGAAGACATAGAGGTGCTCTATTTCTTTAAGAGAAACTCTTTTGACTGATAGGTTGGTAAGAGGCAAAGAGTATTTGACAATATATTTAGCATAGGCAATTTTCTATCTTGCTACAT